ATTTTACCAAACACTACCCACTTTTACTTTTCAAAATCACTTTTTTCTAAAACACTATCAACTTTTATTTAATCACTTCTCCCCATTTCATTAAAAAAAACACTTTTTCAAAAGCAGAAGTTGTTGCAAACAGACCTTTAGTTGAAATGATAACTTTTTTGAATTCTTTTATTATGTTTTATATTTCACTATTTTAGTAGTTGAATTTTTTAAAAAAATAACTAAGCTAAAATAGTGGTGTTTGGGTTTAATTACTACTTGTTGATAAAATGTTGTAGCTAAAACTAAAATAGTTTTAAAGTAGTAATTAAAACTATTTTCTATCAAGTAGTAATTAAAACTAACTTTTAAAGCTAAAACTAGTTTTATCAACTATTTTAGCAACTATGTTTATAGCTATCAAGTAGTAATTAAAACCAAACTATTGCACTAAATTGCTTTATAAAATTTAACAACTTGATATAATGGTGTTTGGTTTTAATTACTACTTGTTGCGACTAACTACTGCTAAAAGTAATAAACTTTCTTTCATAATCAAATCAATGTATAGTAGCTTCTACAGAAAATTAAATTTAAAAAGATCCCTCAAAAAAATTGTTATGTTAACGAATTTTTTGAAACTTCTTTAATTGTGCAAAAGTTTAAGTTTTGTCATTTCATTTATGCTTTACCAAATATGCACTAATTGTAAAAATTATTAATCCTACTCTCAATTTATTCATCTTCTTCACGTGTCTCTTAATTTAATTGTAAATTAAAGAAAGATAATAAAAAAATTTCCGTATCTCTCGGTCTTCTCAGAATTGAATGTTCACGAGTGTAAACGGAATGTATGAAGATGCGCTTCCACAGATTGCCGACGTGCATCTCATTGACTAATTAACGGAGTGAATGAACACGTACAGATTACCTAAATAACGAAGTGATCCTTGATATAAATATGGATAAGTATTGAATATTCTCTATTTGATTGATATTAATCGAACTTGATTGATTGATATTCTCTATTGGAGTATTTTTCCTTCCTCTTCCAAAAGGTTGAATCTCTAATCCCAAGGCCCACATGTCCCAACCCGACAAGATTTTTGGAAGGTTGTAAATCACAGTGACTCAGTCGTGCCAATGGCGGTAGACCTTTTACCCGTGCGCACTAGAGGTCAAGCCCAGCACGCAGGAGCTGTAATCTCACACGGCCGTTGCGGGGTTTCGGTCCTTGGTGTAATATCTCTTATCTCTTTTATATGTTTTCAGTGTCTTTAAAACATTAAGTTTGTCTATTTCGATTTAAATTTGATAAAACATGAGATTACATTTTTCATATGTGTGAGTTATGGTTATGGATAGTTTCTTGAGTTGCATTTGATAATATAAGAAGTTACATTTTCTTATAAGCGAGTTATATGTTTTTATGCGTAAGTTACATCTTCCTATACGTGAGTTACATTGGACCTGTCTCAACAAGTAACATTTTGCATACATCTAAGTTAAATTTTTCATCAACGCGAGTTATATTTTTCATAACATGAGTTAGATCACAAAATAAACTCTTGCTAGATATTCAAACAAAAATAAAATATTTTTATGGCAAAAAAAGTTTTTTTGGCAAATAAAGTTTTTTTAAGCATTTTTTAAAATTTTTTATAGCCTAAAATATTATAAACATTTACTATTTATATAAAGTAATTGAGAAATTAGACTCATAATTTTCATTATTTAAATTTGATAGTATATGATTTGTGCTCGAGTTACATTTGGACTTGCCTCAACAAGTTACATTTTGCATACACCCAAGTTTGATTTTCCATCAATGCGGGTTACATTTCTCATAACAAGAGTTACATAAAAAAGTAAGCCCCTGTTATTGAAACAAAAAAAAAGATGATTTTTATTTTGCCAAAAAATGAATATCTTTGGCAAAAAAATGAATTTTTTAAATGATCTTTAAAAATTTTTTTCCCATAATATTAAAAAAAATATATATTCATTATTTACGTAAAGTAATTGAGCAATTCGACTACTTTATTTCATTGTTTACATAATTACATTGAAAACAATGTTTTATTTCTTATAGTCCGTATAACACCTGTTACACTTGGATATTAACGCGAGTTACATTTCTTTACATGCGGGTTGCATCACCCTGGTTTTTTTATACTACTGGGGGGTCTGGGGGGCCTGGAGTAAATTTTGTTGAAACTCACTCCATTGAGTTTCGAACCCGAGACCTCCCATAAGGAAGAGTGAGTCGGTGACCAGCTGAGCTGGACCGCTTCCTCAATTACATCACCCTGCTACTAGAACAAAAAACTCTCTCTGTCTCTCTATTATTGTCCCAGTTCCTATTCACTTGGTCAACACAAATCACTCTTAATCTCTTACTTCATATATCAATTTTTATCAAATTTGTTTCTGGATTTTGCGACTTTGTAAAGTTTTAATGTAGTTTCTAAATATGTAAATTTTTTCCTAAAAATAATTTGAGTGCGGACAGGGATCCGTTTGTTTATCGTTTGTCAAGCATCGTAAACTGCAATGAGGCAATAACAGGGGGACGGAGGTAGTATTGTTTATGCATGTTACTGATCAAGTGTGTTTTAGCCCTGGGAGCACCATGGTAACCATGGTTTTTGCATTATATTTGGTCGTTTAATTTGAACCCATTATTTAGAAAGCTTCTTCTTGTACCCACTTTTGTACCCACCATATTTGCATAGACATATTTTTATCTATGACCGGATTTACAGACAAAAAAAAAAACTCCTCACATACATGATAGGTACAAAAGTGGTACAATAATGAGCACAAATAGTTTTTTCCATTATTTATGACACAATGTCGTTATTATTAAAGCTAATGCGCACCGTTCTGACTTTTGTAACTGCTTCCCAGGTTGCCAGTGTCACCATATTGTATGCAAAAAGTTGCAAGAAACCGTATTTAAGTATTTTTTGGTTGCTACACTTTCCTTTTTTTGGATGTATTCAAAAATTTGGTACACTTTTCCGTTTTAGTAAGTTTTTCCTTTAAAAATACTCAACTACACTTGTTTTTTCTACTTTTTATCTTCTATTTCATATTTTTTCACCATCTCTCCTACATTTTCTCCACTATTCATTACCCCTATTATTTCACTCTAAAAAATGTGCCAACGCCTATTGTAGCAAACAAAAAAATAGGGAGTGAATAGTGAATAGTTATTTATAAAAAGATGACTTCTTAAATATAGTGAATAGTGATTAAAGTAATAACTTTAATCATATTAATTTATAATTAATTTTCACTATGTAAGAATTGAGCATAATCACAAATAAAAGTGACAAAGTCACACTTTAATTAATTTATCCTCATTATAACTTATTTCTCGGAAATACATCTTAAAACGTTTGTAACAATACTCTTCTTAATTGTGAGTTTTCTTATGAACATTTTACATAGAGCCCGTTTGGTGACTATAATTTTCAGCTTATGAGCCTTGTCAGTTAATTATTTCACCAAACATGCAACATTTGATTTTATGCGCTAAGTTGTGTAACAATAAGAAAACGTAAGATTTAAGTTACTTTTCTGACTAGATTGACTAAAGTTACTGTTGAGAACAATTTTTTCTATTTCTCATATAATTGTTTCTTTATTTTATTAATAGAATATATTCTTGAAACAAGTTTTTTCAGAAATTCAGCATAATCAACTAATCCAGTCACTTAAGCCAGAACTTCATAAATTTAAGCAAAACAATCAGATTCAGTCAAATTCAGTTATCTAACAGGCTCATAATATGACCGACATACGTAGGTTTTTGCAGACAGAATCATGAAATTGTATTTTTCTGAAATTATATAATTGTATTTGTTTTTTTATATTATTTATTTGTTTTAATTTTAATTATCATGATGAGTTAATGCATTCATTTATTTATCAACTAAAAACTTGTTTTCTATTGAATAAATACCATCTACTTCATATACTCCCTCCGTCCCATTGGACTTTGTCATTTTTCTATTAAAACAAATAATTTGTAATTCTGCTCATTTCTCTATACATTGCACAAATTTCAATTACACAATTCTACTTTTCTTATTTGCTACCTACCGTAAACTTGGCAAAGTGGACATGTACAAAGATCATACATAGTATTAATTGACACCGTCGAATTTTTTAGTTAAAAGAAAGAATTTGCGAAAAGGTTTTTTAGGACATCATTCAAAGATTCGGCTTTGCGCACTCCGGGTTATATTGCGGGAGTGAATCCATTATCTCGCATAAACAATAAAGTGCGTGCTCCTTTCTGCCTACTCTCCAATTTTTCCTCATTAAGTAGGGATGTTGGAATGGACGGACCAAAGCACAACAATTAAGATCAACTAATATTATCCCCGTCCTATTTAAAGGTTTCTGTTTATTATTCTCCGATTAACATAATTTAATCTTAATCTTTTATTTTATATACTCTCTCCGTATTTTAAAGTTTGCTACACTTTTCTTTTCGGGATAGCAATCATATTGAACTCAAAAACTTACAAATTCCTATTTCGGGAACTTTCCCGAATTTTATTTATAAAAATAATTTTATCATTAACAGGAATAAATTAATTTTTGGGAAAATTTTGATATAGGACTGTCATGTTTTTATTCGCTAAATAAGATTAATTTCTGCCAATTTTGGCTTTATCAAACTTTAAACATGTCAGATTCTGCCACATTTTTTCCAAATATGGAAGAAATTACTCCTACGTAGGAAGTGAAAATATAAAGTCCCTATTTTGAAATTTCAAAACGTTTTTACAACAATTTATCTTATATTTATTCTTAGTCAAATATGGTAAACATCGAATCTTTAATTGGAACGAATGGGGTACTTATAATTATTGTCTTGCATAAAATAGATCCCATTATTTCTTTAGTTCTTTTTGGACGCACATATATTATATATATGAGAAAAGAGAAAAAAGGATGCCAGCTGGCCTGGAGCATATTTGGACATATATATAGAGAGGCAGGCAATCGAATTGAAGGTGGATAGCATACAATAGAGTAGAAGAAAGAAGGAATTGAAGAGATAGAAAATGGAAGGAGGGGTACGAATGGCGATGGAGATGCTGCTGGTTCAGGCTATCGCGACGGGCTTACAGCTTCTGTCGAAGGTCATTTTGGGACAAGGAGCTTTTGTCTTTGCTCTCATGACTTACCGTAACATTGTTGCTGCTTTCTGTGTGGCCCCTTTCGCTTTCTTCCTCGAAAGGTATTTTATTTAAGAAAGAAAAAAGTCTTGGCTTTCATACACACGCAAGGTTTTAAATAGCCGTAGCGGCAGCGGTCATCGCGGTAGCGGCCTGTAGCGGCCTGTAGCCGACTGTAGCGATTGCAGCGGCGTGAAATATTTTCAATTGCGGAAAACATAGATGTATTTTTTCACAACATTTAATTTTGAGTTTCACTCCAAGCATCACCATTAATGTATTTTTTCACAACATTTACACATTTACACATCAAACAGTTCGTGATGTACTGCCGGAAGCCCGGAAATGTCAATAGCGGGCTGTAGCGAGCTGTAACGGACTGTAGCGGGCTGTAGCGGGCGGCGTAGCGGATTTTTCCCGTGATTTGGAAATCACACACAAATAGCGGGCCGTAGTGGTAGCGGCCCCTACCGCGACCGCTATATAGCGGTCGCTATAGCGGTAGCGGACCGCTATTTCAAACCATGTACACACCTGATGTGTAAACAGCACCCTGTACACGCTCCACATCCATCTGTGTCACAGACAACTTTTTTCGTTTTTAAAATGGATTGTCTGTGATCTTTTGTTTTTTCGATATCATAGACGTTTTGCCTTAAAAACGATAAAATTGTCTGTGGCATAGAATGGGGTGAGGCATGTACACGAGCTACAGACATCCGGTGTGTGCACAAATCCGCGTTGTTTATTTAATTATATATTTATATTGTCCACACACATATATATTAGTTCTAATTATTTATGTTTACTGGTTCCATCCAATTTATTCAATTTAAATTCAAATCTATTTCTATATATATATGCGACAGGGATAGTCTGAAGAAATTGAGTTTTTCTGCTGTGATATGGATCTTTTTTGTTGCATTATCCGGGTACGTATAACCTACTCCAACTCTAGTCTATGTATTTATTTATATATTATTAATGCTAATGCATACCGATATGGCAATAATTACACTATTTACATCCGACTTTACAAACTTTCCTTTTTAGCCAATTTCAAAACTCATGATTTTGTTTTTCTCACCATTTTCTTCGTCATTTCCTCATTATATTCATTGTCATGTTTTCATTTTCATTTTGAATTATTTGTATCATGATTTTTGATCGAGTTGGAGACATATATTTCTATCCAAAATGAATAGGAATAGTTTATGTCTATATTTTATTAGTGTGATACCAATATTTTAACAATTTAATTTAATAGATTGAGAACTATTAGTTGGCTGAAATGGATTTGTTTACCTTTGTGAGAATATGGTTTCATTTATATAAACAATTCAGGTTTACATTAGCTTTGCCTTAAACAGAAATGTCGGTCGTTAAGAATTAAAGATGTTTATAATATGTTTGAAATTTCCCGGTTTGATCTGGTTATTTATTAAGATATTATTTCTAATTATAATTCTAAAAGTTTTTGTATTATTTATTTATTTATTTTTATTTATTTATGTATATATTTATATCAACCTAATTCCGTGCCCAATAGAGTACTCCTAGTTTATTTATTTCATTTCAACCTGATCTTGGTTCAAATATTTATCCATGTTTTTTACCAATATATCGTACCAATTCAAAGGGAATTGAAATTGGTGTTACTAAAGTAACATGCATGTTTATAATCAGGCAATATAATTACATTCCATCAAAAATATTGACTGGGATTTGATTGTTTGGTAATACGTAGTACCTATTATAATTACTTTATCAGATTTAAGAAATCGAATAATCAAATGCGAATATTTTGTTAGAGAAAGTTGTTGGAATCACAACTACACTCAAATCTGGAGTGATTCTCTAAAGGGAGAAAGACCTAAATAGCAGGACTGTGCACTGACTTTAAAGTTTTAGAGAAAGATCTAAAACGTTACTCATAAAAAAATACCAATACATACTACGTTTAATTAAACCTTTTTATCCACTGACTTTAAAAATTTACTTAATAAATTACAGGACTGTGCACGAGTTTATATATTTGCATTTTGGTATACGTTTTAATAAATTGTTTATGAATATTCATAGTGTATATTGTTGCGACAAAAAATTAAGAATTATGGATTGACTAATACGCCACGTGTCGAAGCTAAACTGAAACTCTTGTCTTTTCGTTGGATTCGGTTTCCTCCATTAATCCATTTCATTATTGTCTTTATTATTTTCCACAATCTTTTGTTTTTAAATTTAAATAAACATCCACTTGATAACAACGAATATGATCTAGTATCAATTATTTCAGGTGGTTAGTTTGGAAAAAAAATGAGCCCGTTGGATAAGGTTGATATTTATTGAATCCTTTCAATCGATTGAAAATGTTGAACTAGTTGAACCTGTTGAATTTCTTGAATTATAAAAAATTATCATTAAAATAAAGAAATAATATTATTAAAAAAATCAAGATATTTCTCTTTTATTAGCTTATAATTATCATTATACACCAATGTTCGCGATCAAAAGCTTAGTGTCTAGTAAGAAGTTAATGGACATAAATTTTCTGAACTAGTAGATGTCTGGTCTATATGAGGTGTTTGTTAAATGGCGTTTCAGTCGAAAAATGACGGTTTGACTACTTTTAGCGGTTTCAATAAGGGAAAAAGTTGGTTGGTAAATAATTATTCGGCACTAGCGTTTTTGGACAGAAACACTAAAATGAAAACGCTGCAAATAGGAGAGTTTTATTTTTCACTAATTTTATGGCCAAACAGCTAAATTATCGAATACTTTCTGACAACCCGCCAACTTATTCTGCTAGTCAAACCTGGTGATGAGTGCGCTATTGACAAACTGATAGCTGCTAAATGTCAAACACGCCCTATGTATTTTACAACTATCGAAGTGTGTTCTAGTCTGATTTGGCCTGAACTAAACTCTTCTAGCTGTCTGATCAGATCTGATCTAGTCTAGCCTAATCTAATATGGGATTGAAATAAGTTTAAATAAAAACAATCTAATAACCCGAAAAACGTATTATCAAATGGATTCATTATGTATCATGAAGAAATGGATTTACATTGTGGTTTATACATGTACGTCTCTCTTATATCCAGAATCAATTTCAGCACCATAATTATTTGTTTTTGTCAATCTGTATGCCTTTGGAGATTAAAAGTGGGTATATAGTATGTGTTTTATATATATCTATATTGATAGACATTATGATTTATGAATATTCAACAATAATTTGGATCACTAAATAAGCCTAGCTTATTTAGTGTTGAAAGAAAACCAATCGAAATTGACAACTTTAGTGATTGAAAGATACCATTAAATTGTGCAAAAAAAGAAAGAAAGATACCATTAAATCGATGTACATGATGTTGAAGGTTTGGGTACGTGTATTATTATGTACACGCATTAACCTCTCAAATTCGTTAACATCTACACGTGGCTTGGTCAGTGCTCTTTTGTGTTTGATATCGGCTAAAATTCTTCAGTGGAATTATTATAAATAGAAAACTTTTATGGCACGTTTAATCTGCAAAAGGTTTTGTGCACTGTCCTATATATATCCACAAGTATTTATTGACACGTGTTTCTTACACGTTTTCTGTACATAATATTCGTATAGCATTTAAAATATTGGTATAATTCAGAATGAAAGATGAGTCATACGAACAAATAATAGTATTTTGTTTTGTTTTATAAAAAGGATTGATTTAATAAAATAATAAAAAGTTGTAGCTGTTTCAATTCTTGTAGGAGTTAATGCAACTTATTTATTTATTGATCTTATGCATCGTTTAAATTATCGCATATATAATGTGAGTTTTTGTTAATGTCTTCATAAAACAACATCATTGAAACAAGATTTATTGATAAATTATAATTGCATTGTCACTGATGTTTCCATGACTAATGCAAATTGCAAATGGTTTAGTTAATGCTACGTATGTTTCTAATTCATGCAATATTACGTATGTTCATTAAAAAATAATACGTATGTTTCTAATTCATGCAATATTAGAAAGTATATTATATATTAAATAGATTGTACTACGTAATATAATTAATTATAATTTTATGCTAAATATTTACTATAATATAGTTTTCGCTCTATGACTGGCAAACAAAATTACTTCGTAATATGTAGTATTTTTTTTCCATCACATTTAAAAGGGTAATATTTACGGAAGTTTTTCAAAAATTAGTACTCCATAATTAAGTATCAAAAGCAATCAAAGTGAAAGATACAAACTAATGTGAAATTAGCATTAAATTCATACGATCAAATATGAAATTAATTCATATATTCTTTGTATCTATAAACTTTATTTTACAATTTAATGCTTATCCTACTTGGAGTAATTAATGTTAAAACTTGTTAAGATGACATCGAGTGTATTGCAGGATCACTATGGCTATGGGATTCTTTTACTTTGGTCTCCAAAACACATCAGCAACTTATGCTACCAATTTTCTCAATCTAATTCCAATAGTAACCTTCGTCTTCTCGATAATTACTCGGTAAGATAATACAGTTTTTCATCACGAGGCCACACTCTATTATATACGAGTATTACTTTACAAAAGTCAAAGTTTGTACAAACTGACCAAAATTTTATGTGTGTCTGGCATTGAAGTGTAGAGAAGTTGAGATTGAAAACCAAGGCTGGAAATATTATACTCATAGGAATAATGTCGTGCCTTGCGGGAGCGTTGACAATTACATTGTACAAAGGCAAAACATTTCATCTATCTACTATCAACATCAATAATCATGCAATTGCCCCTACTGTGAAACCAAATTGGGGACTTGGAACTATCTTTCTGGCGTGTAGTTGTATAAGTTATGGTTTCTGGTTCATTATTCAGGTAATCACTTTGATCAACGAATTTTTAGTTAAAAGCTATTAATAAATTTTGTAGTATAAAATTAAACCAATCAGTTGAATGGTTTGATTGTGCAGGCAAAATTGTTCAAGATATTTCCATACAAATATTGTGCAACCACTCTAATATGCATATTTGCTACATTTCAAAGCATGGTAGTGGGTTTATTTATTGATAGAACAAAAGCCTCCTGGAAATTGGGATGGAATTTGCAACTAGTTACTATACTCTATTCGGTAAGTATCTCATCATTCCTTCTTCCTTTGATTTTTTGAGACCTAAATTATCATATTGAAACGTTGACTTGATATAAGAAGTAGATTAGAGCTATTTCTGCAGAAACATGAATGTTCTTTTCCCAACTAATAAGACCACAAGTACACCGAAATATTGGTCAGACCAGTACCTTCCGTAGACTGAAAAGTTAGAGACCTATCGACTTGTTTCTCCCTTGCCAGACCTAAAGCTTCTATACATTTATACCTAAATGTATAAATGGTACCTTAACTATCGGTAATGTTGTATTTTGGTACCTTAAATTAATTCTTAAATAAATCAAAATATTACCTTAACTATACATAAATGTTTCAATTCGATATTTTATTCAAATTTGATGCCAAGAAAGCACAAGTGGTGGCCGGAATTCTATGCGTAAAGTCTATTTTTACCTTAATTTTTTTCATATGATCACTATAGGGTGACTATACACATGAAATTTTGATCGTCATGAAGGATTTTTTGGCCGCAAATTTGAATAAAATCTCAAGTTGTAACATTTATGTATAATTATGTACCGAATTGATTCATTTAAGAGTTAAGGTACCAAACGCAACATTACCAATAGTTAAGGTATCATTTATGCATTTGACCCAGGGTTCAACCTTCCACGTGGTTTTGTGAGCACGAGTGAGGCGAGGTTAGAGACTAGGTGTGTGCAATTGAGACGGGAACCGAGTTACCGGCTGCTCGAGCTGAAATTCTGGCATCAGTTACTAATTACTATAGCAAATTTATCTCAAAATTTTTGTGTTTTTCTATGATGAGCTAAACTGAATGTCTTTTGATATTCAAATACTCTTATATACATAGTATATATATGACTATGATGTTAATACTCTTATATACTACGTATATTTATTGTAAAACAGAACGGTGTGAAACGTTTTAACAATATGTGTAACATTGATTATACGATTAAAGAGAATTTACAAATTACTCATTAACTCTTCTGGTTAATTTTTGTAGGGTGCATTAGCTACGGCAGCAACATTTTGCTTAATCTCATCAGCAGTAGCTCAAAGAGGTCCAACTTATCCTTCCATTTTCAATCCGCTCTCTTTAATATTGGTAGCCATTGCAGAGTCCGCTTTACTTGGTTCCTCCATTTCAGTGGGAAGGTTAGTTAGACTTGATATTCTCGATTTGATTACATTTTTAGTCGATACATTTTGATTTATAGAACTCATATTTATATGCTAAACATATCTAATTGCAGCTTGATTGGTATGACATTAATCATTGTGGGATTGTATTTATTCCTATGGGGGAAGAACTTAGAGATCAAAAGCCTAATTATTTCAAATATGAGGAAAACTGAAGCTCAAGTAACGGCCGTTGGTACTAATTCATTGCAATCAACGGCTGTTGTGGTTCCAACATCTTCCCCAAATGAGAGGCACATTCATATTGACTTTGCCGATGAAGAAGAGGAAATGACAAAACCTAAGTAGAAAATGAGGGTATTTTTCTATTTATTAGTTGGGGAATTGAAACTAATTCCGGCAGGACCTTCTCATGCACCAATATTGCAGATCAAATTAATTTTTTAGTTGTAGCTGAAAATGTAACATATCTTTTAATTTTTTATGTAATTCAAATGTAAAACTAATTAATTTTTAGATATCATTTGCTTCATTATTTTATATTTACACCATGATCTTAGATACAGTTGGAACAAGCTAGGAGCAATTTTATGTTGTAAACGTGAGGGTGTAAATGATTTGAGTCGATAACAATTCTATTTTATAAATTTAAACTTCAATAAAAAAAAGTTAACTATCTAGTAATCGGATTAAGAGAAATAACTTTTGAGATAAAAGGATTTTTTCTAATTTATTTTCCCTACAAATAGAATACTTTTAATAAGTAATTTGTATACAAGTGTACACATTTTAATTATCACTATTGCTCCAATAACAGAACTAACGTAAAACAAGAAGAGAGGATCTATGGAAAATAATTTTTTATCTACTTTGAATCATACCGTGTTGGTTATTATACAGGAGATTTTTCACCTTCACAAATATTTGATAAAGCAATATGTTAATTAATTACGTTACATCTAAAAAGGTGCCAAGTATATAGACGCATACATATAAGCTAAGTGATTGAACAATTTTTCTCTACACGATAACCATTCAAAAATAAAAATTAAACAAGTTTGATTATATGACATGGGTATAACATGACATTATCAGCCACTCTTTTCATGTTTTTTTTTTAAATCAAATAACCATTTTATTGATAATCAGATCTTAACAAGAAACATAGCAACGAAAAGCCGAAGCATTACAATCATAGCGTTCAATACTACACTAGGGTGAGACAAAGAACAAAAACGCCATATAAAAGCACTCATGTTCGCTAACCTTGCAACAACGTAGACTCGTACCGCAGTGTGTTTGCTCATGCTACTCGAAATGGGTTCAGCTTGACCAGCCACCGGAAAGGAATTATTGAACTTGCCAATTTTTCCAGCCACCGGTAAGGAGCCAAGTGCAGAAATTGTTCCGGTTTAACCAGCCACCAGAAAGAAAGCAATCCATCCAATGTCATCTTCCTGGATCGGCAGTGGTTCAGGAGGGGGGCGATCGGCCTCTATATCAATGCAAAATAAATCCTGATTCATGATTGATAAAGAAGCCAATACAAACCTCTTACTAGCACACAAGAACACCCAACCGATGATGGTGGCCTGGGGAATATAGATCTGGCGAGCGACACTTCGCCACCGAAAATAATATCTCTAGACAACGCTAGGAAATAAACGTATAGATAGAACTGAAAATACTGAATAAACGAAACTTTTTCCATGATTGAAGTCAAAAGAAGAGAAGAAGGAAGGAAGGAAGGAAGGAAGGAAGGAAGGAAGGAAGGAAGGAAGGAAGGAAGGAAGGAAGGAAGAGGAGGAGGCGGTAGCTAGGGTTTCCCTTCGCCACTCCTCTCTCCCCTCGTATTGCTCGATGGATGTTTAGTCTCTTCTTTTGAGTTGTGGCATTGATTTTTTTCAAAGGTATTATAGTCACTCTTTTCATGAATTAACAATTAAAACGTGATTATCCTTTTATTAGTATTTTAATACGCACTTGTCCGCACTCAACTTTTTTTGAATGAAAAACAACTATTTATTAATAATAAAAATGATCGATATTAATAGATTTTGCATGGATGCTTTTAATTCAGGTAAATTACCGAATAATATTAATCACACTAATCTAGTTTTAATTCCAAAAAAGACAGTCCTGAGTCGTTGAATGACTGGAGACCTCTCTCGTTGTGCAATGTTGCTTATAAGATTTTCTCCATAGTGCTGGCTAATAGATTAAAGGGTGTGCTACATTTATGCATTTATGAGAATCAAAGTGCATTTATCTCAGGCCGGTCCATTGTTGATAACATTATGCTTGCTTTTGAATCACAACATTTTTTGAGACGGAAAACTGAGGGGAAGTTGGGGTTTGTCAGTCTCAAACTAGATATGAGCAAGGCATATGATAGGGTGGAATGGTCTTTCTAGAAGGGATGATGACACTACTAGAACTTTTGTCATTTGCTGCTCCCTTTTTGCTGCGGTTGTTGGTGTACCCGCAGCAAAATGTTAAAATTTTGAACTAATTGCGGCGGTTACACAAGAACCGCAGCATTATCTTAAATTTTTTTGGAGTATTAGCTGCGGTCATTATGGAACCGCAGCATTATCTAAAAAAAAATTGAATTATTTTTTTTTGGGGATCTTTAATTACCGCAGCAAAATAACACCTAAAATAACCAGCCTCCATCGATCAGATCCGCAGCCTCCAAAAAACCCCTCCACATCTGTTCGCACTTCTACATCGATCGTCCAAAAAAAACCCTCCAATACTCCGTCGACCGTCCGCCCTTCCCAGCTGCAGCCTCCGAACGCCGACCCTCCCAGCCGCAGCTGCAGCCGTCTCACGCCCTCCCTCCTAGCCCTACATCTGAAATTCCTCTCGGCATAGTCAGCAATCATGACAGCATCAGTGTGCTCGTGAGACTCAGATCCAAATTGGGAAGATGAGATTGTTGGGCTTTTGGCCGGTGAGCAAAACTCAGTTACCTTAGCTGTAAGCGATTTCTGTACTACTAGACCAGAAGAAGATTGAGGGACGACACAAATCTTTGGGTTAAACTTTTGAGACCAGAAATGTTAGTGAGTGCTCAATCCTTGATCTATTCCATTAACTTGAAATGAGGCTTTCATACTATGAGATCAGAAGAAGATTGACGGAAGGCATGAGACCAGAGAAAGATTCATGCGGCCACAACTGATTTATTCATTTACCCATTAACATAAATCATAATGTTTGCTAAAAACGAAATCAATTTTCTTTTCTTTCATACTTGAATTGAATGACTGACACAGACCTCACAAATGTAGCCGCTGAACGCATCTCCTCCAGTAGCGGCTGAACGCCGCCCAACTCCGCTCCCTCCTAGTACACTCCTTTGCCCACTCAGTGGCTCAATAGAGGTTTATTTTCCAACCTTTTATTTTACATTTTATTTAATTTATTGAATTTTGTCAAATTTGTTGTACATTATTAGCATTATTAGCATTTGTATTTATTGATAGAATTAGTATTGTGTTTAGATGATGGATTAATTGAATTAGTATTCATTATGTTTGGATGAAATTAATGAGACTGTGAAGAAAATAGGGACCCAATGTCTATTTTTGTTGCTGAAGTAACTTCAATGTCAGTTAGCCTTTGTAAAGATCAGCTAGTATTCAATAGACAATTCAGGTAGCCTTTGTAAAGATGAGCTAGTGTTAGATACTTGACAAGTAGAGGAGTAAACCACAAACAAAGGGATTATTTATCACATATAGAACTATTAGCTATATATGGTTCTTGCTAACCAACTTGTTTAGGACACTGGTGATCTAAGAGAATATGTTTGAATTGAAAAGCATGCAGCGCAGAGTGCATCTTTATTGCATGTTTCACCAATTTGTTTGGCATTTAAATAAAAGAAAGGCACACTTTTGATTTATTTGACTGGACACTGGTTAGCATTTATTGTTTTGATAAAAGGCGAATTGAGAAGTGTTTAGCGCAGATTTAAATGTGTCCTCTCATAGTCTGGAGACCAGCCACGAACTGTGTATAGTAATAGTGGTAGGCTCTTTAATTTATTTCGCTGAATGAGGAGTGATGACTAATGCAGCAAAACAAAGTATACTTGAATTGAGAGTGAATGTTCTTAAGAGTGAATTACCTAAATTAATGAGACTGTGAAGAAAATAGGGATATTTTTGTTGCTGAAATAACTTGAATGTCTATGGAGTATGGAGCTCAAGTAATGAAGAATCTACTGCCTATTTAACTCAAATACCTTTTTTGTTGAATCAGTGAATATAAGTTACTGCATTGACTTTGTGGGAGGGGGGGATTTCGTTTCAAGTTATGTAAGGCTATCTTGGAAATGTTAGGAAGATTATGTCATGTTATATGCATAGTTATTACGGCGTCGCCATGGCGTCGCCTAAACGTCGCTATATCGTCGTGGCGCTATCTGAAGCTCGCCATGGGAGGTCGAGACGCCATAAACCATTTGGCGTCGACGCAGCATCGCTGTGGCATCGGAAACACGCCATAGACGCCTAAGCGACGACCCAAACGTAAGTTAATCAATTTCGAACAGGCCCAAACCCAATTATTTGAACCCATCAAAATAAAATAAAATAAAATAAACAGACCTATCTACGAATCGACGACTTCTCAAAAGCACAGTCGCTTCCACCCGTCTTCATCGTTCATTCGTTTGCACGCTCCAGCTTCGCTTGTATTTCCGTCGCCCAGGCTGTAGTCGCTCGTGACTCACAGCGACTGTCGTCCGCTGTTTTTTTTGGTCCAATATTTGTCTAGACTCTAGAGTCGGTTTAATGTGTAAGTCCTTTTTTTTGCATTACTCCAGTATTGTGTGCAGAAATATTTAATGTTTTATGTTGCACTCTTTCAAAAAAAAATGTTTTATGTTGTACAAAAATTTAACCTGTGCTTTGTATTTAATGTGGTATGCTTTGTATTTAATGCTGTGTTAAATTGTGTTTTACAGAAAATCATTTAACTGAAGTGTGCATTGTTGTACTATATTTAATTTTAGTTGCTACTATTTTAGGAAATGTTTCAATTGTTTCAATTTTATGAAAACAACTTTTATTTTATGGATATGGATTTCATTGGATTTGTTTGGGATTGTTTTGATGTACTATAGGCTTATGGATTACTCTGTATGTTGTTTCTGTGATTACATGTTTTATTACTTCATTTTTAGTGTTGCCTACAAGTGTTACATGTAGGTATTTTAGTATGTAAAACGTATTATGAATTTATTAGTGTATATGTCGACTTATCGCCGTGATGCCGCCGCGACGGGCGCCATATCGCCATGGTGGTATGGCAGTCCGGAGGCGCCGCGCCGCAAAACCCCGCCGTAACAACTATGGTTATATGATTTGAGTTATAAGATTTGCAGCAAAAAGTTCAAACTTTACTGGGTTCTCATACTGTTGCCATACAGAATAGAGAGTGCAATTATAGTATATGTAATACAATATTCTCTCCTAAGCTTTCTTTTCCATTATCATATATCAATGATATCACAATTTTTGCTTGCTTCAAAGGGCCCACTCGCCGTTTAGAAGAATCTAATCTAACTAATTTAATCTCAAACAAGTGGTGGACTTTGAGGAAATTATTACTTTAATTGGGTTTTCAGGGAATTGTAGATTAGTACTTTGAATAGAGTGTAGTTATATGTTCTGTACATTCAAAAGTTTCTTACCCATATTATTCATTGTTCTTCAAAAGTGATGTGTAATTATATATGTCACTAAGCACCATAGTGTTCCTTTCTTTGAAAATAACTTAAGTTGTTTTTTAATCTCTATTTCTTTTTTAAAATGATCTATTAATTTCCCTAAATCATATTTAGGAGTAACTATTATCATACTTGAAATTATGATATTGTAAATGATAGGACCAAAGAAATAAGATAGCCTAAAACTGAGATAAGAGAGAGTTAGTCAATTAGTTAGCCTAATTTATTTGGTTATAAAATCTAACTAATGCAACTTACATTTTTTTCTGTAAAGATGAATCGAAGCTGGATGTACGGTAAACGGAACACATTGGAATTTATGAATGGGGTAGCTGAGTTTTGCAAATGTTGTTTAGAATACAGAGCGTTGACCGGTTATGATGAGTTATATTGTCCTTGTGTTGATTGTGCCAACATATATTCATTCCGGTCAATAGAGACAATCAGAGAACATTTAATTTGCCGTGGATTTAGGCAAGAATACTATGTATGGGTGTGGCATGGCGAGAAAGGAGGGTATACAGAAGATCAAACCAAAGTCAATGAGATGACCAATATCACAATCGAGAATCTTTCTGATGTGGAGGGTGAGAATAATGAGGAGACTGAAACTGAAAGTGAAGGTGAAGGTAACGATGAAGATGATATTGAAGATAATGATGAGAGTGACAACGTAGATCAAATCAATGAGATGATGGGTGAAGTAAAAGATCACTTTAGTGGCGACCACGTATATTTGAAAGTTTGTCACAAGCAGCAGAAAAACCATTATATCACGGGTGTACAAAATACACAAAGCTTTCTGCCGTGATAACACTTTATAATGTGAAAGCCAAGAACAATTGGAGCGACACAAGTTTCACATCCTTACTGGAAGTATTACATGACATGCTTCCTGATGGAAATGAAATGCCAAAGTCAAATTATTATGCGAAGAAGTCATTAAATTCAAATGATTAATATATTATACATGTCTATACTTTAAAGATTTTCTAATGTTAGTGTTATATGTTAATGCCTACATTTTTTAGATGGTGTTTTTTAGATGCATAGGGAGAGAGTTCATGCAACAACTGGTCTTCTCTACCTTATATATTTTCTTGCTTTTTCTTTATTCAGTGTTTTAGAATCTCTAAACAACTGGTCTTCTCTACCTTATTACTTTATTAGTAATACATGTGCATTAAATGTAGACCGCGGATACTATTCAGTAGAGACTGTTACGCTTTTAGTTGCTTTGAAGGTCTGCTACAGAGATAGAATCACAATTCTTAGGGGAAGTCACGAGAGCAGGCAAATAACCCAAGTGTAAGTTTTAAAATTGATAAAATGTTAATTGTCATGATTTTACAATTAATAGTAAGAGATTTCCATTATGCGAATGATGAGGCATATTTTGTATGAATCTAACATGCAGGCATTGTATACATAATGGCTGATGATGAGGATGATTTTGTTATTGAAGAGGAAGGTGAGGAGGAAGTTGAAGAAGATGCTATGTCGCGGCGCATTGCTGATTTTGAAGAAGAGGCTGATCTTAGAGGAGATCTGGAGGAGGCAGGGTATTCATTGGAAGAGATCGAGAAACACTTGGAGAAAAGAAGAAGAAAAAGGAAGGATGACAGTAAGAAGTCTGGGAGGGGGGCATTTAAAGGGCTAAAAGTAACGGAACCCATGTTTCTACAATTTGACTCATTTGGTCGTGCCTCGGGTAAATGGAGACTAAAATTTGGACAACATGTTGGCTTATGTTCTCGCAAATTGAACATCAATTCGAGGTGGTCAGACGTATCTAATGGCTTGAAAGATACTCTTTGGGAAGACACTAGGGTGAGCATTATAATTGAAATAATTTATATTTGTGTTTTTTTAATACTAACAATGTCTTGTTTTATTGTTATAGAATTTGTTTCATCTTCCGGACGATCCTGCTATTAAGAATCTTTTTTATCCACGGTGGCATGTCGCTTTAGAGATTTCAAAGCAAAATTAGTTTCAGGATGGATCACATGTGTTAGAAAGCGAACGAAACAGGAAGATGGAAAACTTCCACCACAAATCTGGCGTCACATTAGTTCAGATATTTGGGAAGAGTTTAAGAGGCAGAAGATGACCCCAGAAGCTGAGGTAAGTATTTTAATACACTAGCCAAATATTTTTACATGAAATATAATTACTCTATTTTTAATAGGACATGAGGAAAAAAGCATCAGAGAGTGCTTCACAAAACCAACATCATCATCATATGGGGCAAAGGAATTATGAAGACAGCAGAGCAATTTGGATCGATGAAGGCTTCTATCCTAATGCTTGCACAGATTCTTCATCGATTGGTTCAAGTTCTACACAATTTAATAGAGGTGATGATTGGTACTGTGCAATGCATGCTCGTGATAAGGAGGGAAATCGAGTTATTCCAGATAAGTGTACACAAGAAGTAGCTGAGAAATATGTAAGAAACATAAATCATTTAAATTATTTCATTTGTATTAATAAGGCTATTGTAGATATAATATCTTTGAACAGGTTGAGTATAAGAACAAACAGAATTTGGGTGAATTTGTTCCTCAACGCAATAGAGATGCTTTGTATTATGCTCGTGGAGAGAAGGCAGATCATTCTGGCCGTGCTATTGGATATGGCGGCATTAATGTTGGATACTCAAAAGCTTTTGGCAAAAGAACTTGTGGATCACAGTACAGTGACTGTTCATCACAGAACATTGAGTCCATGAAGTCCTCAATAAGGGAACAGCTTAGAGAAGAGATGAATGAAACAATGAAACTGAACATGATTCAAATCTTGAACGAAATGGGTATTACAGGTTTTAACTTTTCTAGTGGTGCCTCTATTTCAACGCCAACGACATCAACAAATCACGCGCCACATCCATTTCCAAGTGATGAAGCACAGGTATTTTAATAATAACTTTAATGGTCGACTATTTGTCATATTGTTTAGATTTGAGTTTTTTAATGTCTTCAAATGTTCTAAATTTTTATATAGGGCCCAAGAGTATGTCGTTTATTTTTAAATGATCTTGGAACTGAACAATTGGTTGAGGTGGGTGGTGGCACAGCATTTCCATCTATACCTGGAGTGATGTGTCATCATTTACCAATTATGGAAGGTCATTTAAAAGTAAGTTTAGACACAATTTTGGATGAGCATGTGAGTGCCCCACTTCCTGTACCTGTTCCGAGTGTGAATCTGTTTACTCTAGGTGACGCTCAAGGCACTTTTGTGCAATGGCCACTTGTTTGGGTGAAATTTATAAGTGAGGTAATAATAATAGTAATCAGTATATATGTATATATGTACATGCATATGTCTTTTTGAATGTGTATGTGTGTATAATAAACATCTTAAATATTTGATTTAAATATGTGCTATGTTATTATATGTAGGCGACAAGTTTTAAATCATCAAAGGGAAAGAAGAAAATGGATGTCCATAAAAAACCAGCCAAACAACGATCTCTAGTGTCTGAACAGGTTCTATTGTCCCTTAGCAGAGATTGCAAATGGATGCACTCTATTTTAGCATCCCGATCTAGCGATGGTCCCATTGTTGTTACATTAGATGCTAGAATGTTCCATTACGAATCTGATGATGGTAATGCATATCTTACTACTGAGGACATCAGTCAGTTTCTATCTGGTGCCATGCTTAATATTGCCATTATTCAAGTATTTGTGATGTAAGATTTTCAAGTTGTACAACTTATTACTATAGTATTTAATTTATGCCACATTTTAAACTCAATTTATTTTTACAGAGCAATGCAGGATTATCTACAGGGTTTGGATACACATGCACGACTTGGATGGATGTGTCCTGATTCAATTTGTGCGACTACATGTCAAAATAATCCTGAAGATGTGAAAGTTTACATACACCGAGCCATCACTGAATCTCGGAATACGGGCATAGATATTCTTGTTGCTCCTTATTATGAAGCGTATGTATTTCAATATATATTAAGTTGATTTATTATATTTATAATATGAACGATATACAAATGTTATTTTCTAGCTATTACATAATAATGTCCATATCAAATTACTTGTGTAGTTATCATTGGGTGTTGCTTGTGGTTTGGATCTCACGCGGCATAATTTTTATGTATGATTCGCTCCGGACTAGCCCGATGCGTCGCTTATTAATCATGCCATTGTTCAGCAGGTAATTTTATAAAATCATTCTTTACAAACATGATTATTGTTATTGCATTATCTTACTATTTCGGAACTATGTTGTTTATAACGTTGAATGTTTTCATAATAGTGTTTTTAGAAATATTTGTGGTGGTGGACAAGTGAAAAAGATAACTTGGAAACAGATGAAGGTATTAGTATATACATTCTCTAACTAATTTTTTTACTATATTATTTAATTTATTTAACTTGATAGCAAATGTATGAATTAAAACAAATATGTTATGTGTACAATTTGACATCACAGTGCGCAAAACAAACGGGTGGTTTGGAATGTGGATTTTATATAATGAGATTCATGTTTGATGTTGTTAAAAGTATCGCTGAAGGTCACGATCTGGATCAGGTTATTTCAATACTTATTCATGACATATGCTAATTACTTTTGCTTGAAGTTAAGTTATTTTTTAATTGGTTAATGAAATAGTAATCATATAAAAGGTTACAAATGTTACAATGTAATTATTATGAAATTATATTGCAAATCCTAACTTTAATAATTAATATTGCTTATCAGGTGTACACGAGCAACGTAAGAGATGATGCGCTGTCAATGGCAGAAATCGGTGAAATCCGTGATATGTGGGCTATATTTGTTTCTGACAATTTCTTGTAAACTCTTGTATGAATCATGTATTTTAACAATATACATTTTTGTTGCTTCAGATGTTATTGACATTGTAATGTGCTTTTTTGGTGGTCTAAAACTTGTATTGTAATGATTGAGAACTTGGATGGTTAGAAATACAGGTTTCCTGGTGATCTAAAATTTGTTATTGTGAATTTAGAGCAAATAATTATTAAATAGGGCAGATATATTTTAAATATGTAAAGTATTTGCTGCGGGTGTCAGGAACCGCAGCAAAAAGTAATGTGTAAAAATTCAACGGCCTTTTTGCTGCGGTCGTAAGGGAACCGCAGCAATAAGTACTTTTTTTTTAAAAAAAATCGGTCCCTTATTTGCTGCGGTTGTAACCGCAGCAAATACCTGTTTTTACATTTTGCTGCCCCTTCAATTGCTACGGTTCAAAACCGCAGCAATTAAGTCAAAACAACCGCAGCAATTAAGCTTTTTTCTAGTAGTGTGAGACAGTTGGGCTTTGATGTCAGGTGGGTTAATCTTGTGATGGAATGTGTGTGTTCTGTGACTTATATTATTCCATTCCATTTGATGAAATAGACTAGAGTTAGGGCCTATATATATTACCTACTTGGGGTCTTAGACAGGGTGATCCTCTTTCACCATACCTGTTCCTCATTGTGGCAGAGGGGCTAAGTGCTGTATTGAGGTGGTATGAGTCTGCAAGTCGGTTACATGGGGTGGCAGTAGCACGTGGGGCTCCGAGAATATCTCGATCACTTACTGTTTGCAGATGATAGTCTCCTATTGTTTAGAACCACACATGGCCACATGGGGAAGCATCTCTTGTAAAAGAAACGTTGCATGACTACGAGGTGGCTTCGGGATAGGTGATTGATTTGAATAAGTCCAAAATCTTTTTTAGTGCTAATGTGTCGGCCGACTGTCGGGATGGGTTGATTGAGTTGCTGGGGGTAGGTTTGGCAGGCAATGAAGAGAGGTATTTGGGGTTGCGGGTTTTGGTGGGAAGGAATAAAAAATCCATATTATCTTTTTTGAGACACAGGATGGTGAACCGTATACAGAACTGGAATAACCGTTTCTTATCTAGGGTAGGAAGAGAAGTTCTTTTGAAGTCGGTAATTCAAGCGATGCCGAACTTCACTATGAATGTTTTTCTTTTGCGTAATGAGCTTTGGCGGGAAATTGAGGTTCTCATGAATAGGTTTTGGTGGAATGGAAAATCTGGGAAAGGAATTAGGTGGCGGCACTTGAATTTTTTGTGCACACCGAAAAAGTTTGGAGGTATGGGGTTTAAGAAAATCCGGGAATTTAATATCTCTATGCTAGCTAAACAGGCGTGGAGAATTTTTACTCATCCGGATTCACTTCTCGGGAGGGTTTATCAAGCCCGGTATTATCCGGGTGGTTCTTTTTTTACTGCAAAATTGGGTCATAACCCTTCTTTCATCTGACAAAGTATCTTTCAGACCCAAAATGTTACTACCTCCTTCCAATTTTATGTGTCTTAGTTTGACTTGGCACGATTATTAATGAAGTGGTTGAAAAAGTAAAAGTTGTGATTGAAGTTTGAGTATAATAAAGTGAAATAAGGTAGACCACATATGTTTTTAATAAAATAACGGCAACTGACTCCCGGCATTTGCCCCACTGATTTTGGTGGTTTCCCTTCCGGGTTAAAAAAAAAAAGGTAGACCACATATTTCTTTCCAAATAAAGAAAGTAGACACTCATTTTGGGACAATCCGAAAAAGAGAGTAGGACAGGTGAAATGGGATGGAAGGAGTATTAAACAAGGTTATTTTTGGAGGGTGGGGTGTGGAAGTAAAATCAATATTTGGTCGGAACAGTGGTTCCCAGACCCGATTCAGCCTAAGATTATTACTCCTCCTGGTGAAGGTCTGCAAGATGCGTGTGTTGGTAGTCTTCTTTGCTGCTCCAGGGAATACTTGGGACCTGAATATCTTAAGAGACCTGTTTAAGACCAGGGATATAGATTTGATTCGCAGCATCCCTGTAAGCCGTAGAGTGGTCCCGGACAAGATTGCGTGGTTGTGAGAGTCTAGTGGGTGCTTCTCGGTTCGCAGCTGCTATCGAAAATTGGTAGGGGAGCATAGCAGCTCGAATTGGCTGGGCTGGACCTCAGTTTGGGGTTGGTTTTTACCTCCGAAGGTCAAAATGTTCTTCTGGCAGCCTTGCTCTGGCCTGTTGCCGACGAGGGTGAATCTGAGAGCCCGACGTGTTGACTGTTGGAAATATTTAATATATTCCAAATAAAAACTTTTATTTTAATTAGTATCTAATAACCGAGCACTTAATTGACTGAGTCGGTTATCTCAATTGTTTTCTAACGTGCATCTTGGTTGAGGGAGTAATACTTGGCTGAGCTTTTTTATCTCCAACTTTTTAGGATCAATAACAATATTATTGTTCCACTTCTTCCTTCCATTAAAAAAAACGAGAGCTGTGCATTGTATTACGACTCACGAACACTTCTGCTCAAAACCATCTTCCCTGCAAACTTTACTAAAAGCCTTCATTAAAATTGCTTTCTTATAAAAGCCTTTGTTGGATTATAATTATGAATTCCCTCGTAGTTCTGGTTCCGACTATTAGTCGAAGGGCTCGTTTAATCCTGGGGGAAGATTTCCGTTCACCGGAAATACTTTCAGAGGACAGCGTTTACGCGACTCGAGCCACGGTGTTTCTTGTTGTTATGTTTTGCAGGTCTTTCTCCGTGTTGGCGACACAAGTGTTTTGGACCTGCGGTAATAAGATTAGAACAAAGTGCTGCCATGGAAGAACTAAAGAAGATGATACCCAGGAACCGCCATGCCGCCGCAAACTGCCAGAGAGGAAGGATGAAGCTCTTAGCCTGAGTAATCTCGTGTTTCAGTCGGCCAAACTGGGACAGCCAGGAGCAAGTGAAGAAGTCAAATTCCCAACAATCTCTGAAAGTATTTCCGGATGAAGCACGCTCCTACGGTTCCAGTTTAATGGGTTGCTGAGAAATCTGGTATCTCCTTTAATTATTGTAGTTACCTTATTCGCATACTACTGTGTTGGGAGTTTACCCGACTTTGCCGGAATATATGTTCTGCATATTACAAGTTTTAAATTGTTAGTTGTCACCCTATTCACAATAAGCCTTGGTTTAATCTCACTTATTATAATTTATGTCATTGTATGTGATAGAAAGACAACTATGAGAAACAATAATCCACTTAAATCAAAAATAAAATTGATTAAAAGTGATGAAAATTTTATTGCGGTTGTTTCTCAAAGTTGTAAAATAAATGATGTGAATGAATGGTTGGTAGACTTCGGGGCTACCAAGCACATTTGTAAAAACAAAAGTGCTTTTACCTCCTATAGTACTACTATGGGAGATGATGAAGAGCTCGTGTACCTAGCGGACTCAAAAACCGCAAAGGTGCATGGTAAAGGGAAAGTTCTTCTTAAACTCACATCGGGGAAAACTTTATCACTAAATGACGTACTTTATGTACCTGAGTTTCGGACTAATTTAGTTTCTGTTTCTCTCTTGGTAAAAGCTGGAATTAAAGTATCTTTTGATTGTAACAAAATTGTTATGACCAAAAATGATGTTTTTGTGGGCAAAGGCTATTGTAAGAATGGACGTTATGTGCTTAGTATTCCGAAATTAATGCGTGAAAATGCTTCTTATTTGATTGATTCATATGATGTGTGGCATGCAAGATTAGGACATGTGAGTGATTCTTATATCAATTTGTTGCGTGATCGTGGTTTGATTTCTAGTGGAAAGAAATTGACACTAGAAAAATGTGATATTTGTGTTGAATCAAAACAAACCAAAAAATCATGTCCTACCACACATAGGGAATCAGAATTGCTTGAGTTAATTCACACGAATTTAGGTGATTTAAAAAATACCATGACTAGAGGTGGTAATAAATTTTATGTCACCTTTATTGATGATTTTTCGAGATACACTAAAGTTTATTTGCTTAAAAGTAAAGATGAGAAAATATGGGGAGTTTTTATGTCACCTTTATCGAAGCACTGTCCCTAGTGCTCGTCTCTGTAATAACTTTGTTGGAATGTACATCCTCGTAGCCCTGAATCGGTCCCCTAGCCTGTGAACTTGCGCCTCTGTCCTGCTTTGGTGCCATTGATTGCCTTTTTGGAGCTTGAATTTCGGGGGGCTGGGGTTTTGGGTTTTATGGAGAGGAGAAAATATGGGGAGTTTTTTTTTTTTTGGTTTGTAAAGGGAAGTGTCTTGGTGGTGGTATGAGGAAGTTTGGGTGAGTATTGATGGAGATAGTGAAGAAAGAAGGTTTAAAGATGGAGGATTTTGGAGAGGGGGTTCGAAAATGTGGGTTTTGGGCTAAAAACTCGGGTACCCGGTCGGGTGACCTAACATACCCGATCGGGTATACGCGGGTTGACTTGTTCCGGGGTCGGGCCCGATCGAGTTGGGGTAGTACTCGATCGGGAAAATCACGCCGTAGGAATTCCCATAACTCAATTAAATAAACCCGACCGGGTGAAGGGTGTATCCCGATCGGGTACCTTCCCCAGGAGCGTTTTTTTTTTTTTTTTTTTTTTACACAGACACTCAACTGAATGCAAATAATCAAAATACAAACTTGGGTTGCCTCCCAAGAAGCGCCTTAGTTAATGTCGCGGCACGACGTTATTTTTATTTTATTTTCTGAATTAAGTGGGATCATAAACATCCCTTTTATCCTTCTTTAAGGCCCTGTTCGGCCTTGTGTCAATTTTATTTTTCGGCCTTTTCCAGTAAGGCCGAGCTTTCTTTCTTGCTACCACCTCAACCGTCGGTGGTTTTTCTAGTGATTCCTCCATGATCAAAATTGATTCTTTAAAGGAAGAGTGATTTTTAATAGAATTATAAATGTTATATTCTATTTTCCTTCCATCAAATTCCATAGTTAAAAGTCCGCTAGAAACATCAATTGTTGAATTAGCGGTTTTTAAAAATGGCCTCCCTAATAAAATAGGGACTTCATGTTCATCACTCTCCATTTCAAGTACGAAAAAATCGGCAGGAAACACTAGATCACCTACTGAAACTAGTACATCTTCCACTACCCCTTTTGGGAAAATAGTTGATCTATCGGCCAGTTGAATAGTGACACCGGTTTTGTTTAAAGGGCCAAGGTTCAAAGATTTATAAAGATTATAGGGGACCACGTTAATTGATGCCCCTAAGTCTAACATGGCCTTAGAAATGGTGTCTCCTAGCTTGCACGGTATAGTGAACATGCCCGGGTCAGTACATTTTTTTGGGAGTTTTCTTTGAAAAACTGCCGAAACATGTTCACTGATTTCAACTTTCTGTTTTCCCTTTGACGGTTGCGTCCTCTTGATTGTGCATAATTCTTTTAAAAATTTAGCGAATCGAGGGACACCTTTAATCAAGTTAAGGAGTGGAATATTTACCTCACACTTGGCGAAAGTCTCATAGATATCTGCATCTCTCCTTGGCTTCTTTGTTTCCCTCAATGCCTCGGGGAAAGGAGCTACTGCTTCATATGATGACAATGGAGGGGGGTTGGATTTTGTTGACTCCTCCTCGAATTTAGCTTCCTCCTCATGGTCAACCTCTTCAATCCCTTGATCTTTCTTCTCTACCTCTTTCAATGTCGTCCCACTTCTCAACATGATGGCATTCACATGTTGCCTCGGATTTTGCTCCGTTTGAGATGGGAGTTTACCCGAGTCCTTTGCTTCAAGTCGGCTCACAGCATTTGAAATTTGGCTAACTTGAGTTTCCAAATTTTTTATGCTTGACTTTGTCTCATGTTGGAATTGTATCATGGTTTGTTGAAATTCTCCCATGTTTTGTTGCATGGTAACCATGTTTGAGGTCAAAGTTCGGATCATCTCATCAGTTGACATATTAGATTGAGAATTTGAGCCTTGGGTGTTGAAAGGTGGTTGAGAAGATGAGTTGGCTTGTTGAGGGTTCCCATATCTCAAATTTGGATGATCCCTCAATCCCGGATTATAAGAATTTGAGAAAGGATCATACCTTCTTTGTTGATGTCCTTGGAAACCGAGGGCGTTGACTTGCTCTTCTTGGAGTGATGGACATGAATCAGTGGGGTGCCCGGTTGATGTGCAAATGCCACAAGCTTTGACCTCCTGAATTTTTGGTTTTAGAAGGAGTTCTTTTACCAAAGAAGTCAAGCCGGCAACTTGACTTTCTAGATCGGTTGTACTTGTTTCCGCAGCAAGAACTCTTCGGGTGGAGGATTTGCGGCTGAATTGCCGTGAGTTCTCGGCTAATTCCGAGATTAAGCTTGTTGCTTGTGAAGGAGTTTTGTTAACAATGCCACCTCCACAAGCGGCATTCACCATTCTTCTATCATCATCAACAAGACCATCATAAAAGTATAAGATGAGGTCTTGTTCTGTGTATCCGTGATAGGGGCAGCTAGCACATAGCTTCTTAAAACGCTCCCAATATTCATACAAGGATTCATCATCCTTTTGCTCGATGTTGCTTATTTGCTTTTTGAGAGAAGACGAGATAGAAGCAGGATAATACCTATCAAGGAAGCATTTCTTCATTTGCGCCCATGTGTTGATACTCCCAGAAGGAAGATAGAAAAGCCAATCCTTCGCGGTGTCCTTCAAAGAGAATGGAAAGGCCCTTAGTTTGACTTGTTCTTTAGTCACACCGTTTGGACACATGCTTGTGCAAACGATGTGAAACTCTGAGAGGTGTTTGTTCGGATCCTCCCCTCTTAGGCCATGGAAGGACGGTAGCAGATGAATGAGCCCAGATTTTAGCTCAAACGTATTACCCTCATCAAGAGTAGGGAAGGTAATACACAATAGTTGTTGATTCAAGTTCGGAGCTGTGAGCTCCCTCAATGTTCTTGTCTCTTGAGCCATAGTGATTGGCTCTTCAGATTCGCTAGAGTTGGAGCTAGCACTTGATGATTCCTCCGAAGAAGTATTCGGAAATAAATTCCTAAACCTCTCGAAGGCTTGTTCCGTTTCGGGATTTGTTTGGTAAGTAAGTTCGTTTATAGAACGGGTTTTTACCATATACTCAAACAAAGCTCAGAAATAGAAAATAAGAATTCTTTATATTTTTATTTAATTGATTTTTTGTTGATTTTTCTTGAAATAAAAAAAAAATTGCCTCTCCCCGGCAACGGCGCCAAATTTGACGTGCACTTTGTCGTGATGTGCACTCAAAATAATAATCAAGACGACACTAATACGTAGTATAGCGTAGTAAGGTTCGTATCCACAGGGAAAGGAATAATTTTCTTTTTATAGAACTAGTAACAAAATGGGGGGTTTTAGTTTGATTTGGTTTAATAAATTAAACACGAAGATGAACAAGTTATGTGGTTTAATTAATGAGAAGAAGACTTGGCTTTGCTTTTATCCACTTAATGAAATGTTCGTCGATCCCGGTTATATCTTTAACTATCTTCCTCTCGAATACTCAATCGAGGAGTATATCCAATTCATCGAGGGTAGTTATTAATAACGAGACGCGTTCATTAATAAAACTTACTACCGAGTTAATATAGAACACGCGCCGTATATTTACTCGATAGTAGCAATAAAATCAAGATGAAAACGATTGAGATTGATAACCTCAACACAAGTGGTTTATTGGTTTAATCAATATAATTAATTCCCCTTGGTTTATTAACCATGAAACGCATGCATTAACAACCCAAGTTTACTACCGTGAAGGGACCGAGTTAATAACAAGCGTATTAATCGACCGATTCTAGTATTAATTAATATATGAAACAAAACTAGTTGATCCTTTAAGTATTGCTCAAAATATTAATATGTAATAGGAATAGGAATTAATTAATATTCAAGGAAGAAGATTAAAGAAGATAACTCACAACTTACAATTCATTAAGCTTCAAAGTAGCAAAACCAAGATGGAAGAGTTTAGCTCCTCATTTGGAGACTAAACATGAAGAAAATATAAACAAAGAACTTATCTAAACTGAGCTTAGAAGTATATAGGAATTGGTCATTTTATTGTGAAGGAAAGGGGTGTATTTATAGGCTTTTGGGAGCTGCAGGGTCTGATACCCGACCGGGTATATAGGATACCCGACCGGGTATCTCAGGAAATTGCCCAGAAAGTCATTTTTCTGGGCATACCCGATCGGGTAAGGGTATATACCCGATCGGGTATGTGACAAATCTTTATGAAAATTTGCTCCCACGATCATTTGTCTTCGGATTTGATTTGGACAGTCGAATCAAGCAATTACCCGATCGGGTATAGGCAATACCTGACCGGGTACATGAGTATTTTTTCCAATCTTGATCCCTTAGATGATCTTTGACCTGTTTAGCTCAGAAAAATCCTAATCTAACTAAATTACAAATAAAAATGAAAATAAAGTATTACACCAAAAGTGTGTAATTTCCACAACTAGAACTAATAAAAACTAGTTAAAAATACAAACATACACTCGGAAATTACACGAATATCAACGGACACCAAACTTAAAGTCTCATTCCTTTAATCCAGCAAATTTTGTAAATGGTTTTCACAATTTTTTTATTTGAAATATGTGGGGGATTGTTGGAAATATTTAATATATTTCAAATAAAAACTTTTGTTTTAATTAGTATCTAATAACCGAGCACTTAATTGACTGAGTCGGTTATCTCAATTGTTTTCTAACGTGCATCTTGGTTGAGGGAGTAATACTTGGCTGAGCTTTTTTATCTCCAACTTTTTAGGATCAATAACAATATTATTGTTCCACTTCTTCCTTCCATTAAAAAAAACGAGAGCTGTGCATTGTATTACGACTCACGAACACTTCTGCTCAAAACCATCTTCCCTGCAAACTTTACTAAAAGCCTTCATTAAAATTGCTTTCTTATAAAAGCCTTTGTTGGATTATAATTATGAATTCCCTCGTAGTTCTGGTTCCGACTATTAGTCGAAGGGCTCGTTTAATCCTGGGGGAAGATTTCCGTTCACCGGAAATACTTTCAGAGGACAGCGTTTATGCGACTCGAGCCACGGTGTTTCTTGTTGTTATGTTTTGCAGGTCTTTCTCCGTGTTGGCGACACAAGTGTTTTGGACCTGCGGTAATAAGATTAGAACAAAGTGCTGCCATGGAAGAACTAAAGAAGATGATACCCAGGAACCGCCATGCCGCCGCAAACTGCCAGAGAGGAAGGATGAAGCTCTTAGCCTGAGTAATCTCGTGTTTCAGTCGGCCAAACTGGGACAGCCAGGAGCAAGTGAAGAAGTCAAATTCCCAACAATCTCTGAAAGTATTTCCGGATGAAGCACGCTCCTACGGTTCCAGTTTAATGGGTTGCTGAGAAATCCGGTATCTCCTTTAATTATTGTAGTTACCTTATTCGCATACTACTGTGTTGGGAGTTTACCCGACTTTGCCGGAATATATGTTCTGCATATTACAAGTTTTAAATTGTTAGTTGTCACCCTATTCACAATAAGCCTTGGTTTAATCCCACTTATTATAATTTATGTCATTGTATGTGATAGAAAGACAACTATGAGAAACAATAATCCACTTAAATCAAAAATAAAATTGATTAAAAGTGATGAAAATTTTATTGCGGTTGTTTCTCAAAGTTGTAAAATAAATGATGTGAATGAATGGTTGGTAGACTTCGGGGCTACCAAGCACATTTGTAAAAACAAAAGTGCTTTTACCTCCTATAGTACTACTATGGGAGATGATGAAGAGCTCGTGTACCTAGCGGACTCAAAAACCGCAAAGGTGCATGGTAAAGGGAAAGTTCTTCTTAAACTCACATCGGGGAAAACTTTATCACTAAATGACGTACTTTATGTACCTGAGTTTCGGACTAATTTAGTTTTTGTTTCTCTCTTGGTAAAAGCTGGGATTAAAGTATCTTTTGATTGTAACAAAATTGTTATGACCAAAAATGATGTTTTTGTGGGCAAAGGCTATTGTAAGAATGGACGTTATGTGCTTAGTATTCCGAAATTAATGCGTGAAAATGCTTCTTATTTGATTGATTCATATGATGTGTGGCATGCAAGATTAGGACATGTGAGTGATTCTTATATCAATTTGTTGCGTGATCGTGGTTTGATTTCTAGTGGAAAGAAATTGACACTAGAAAAATGTGATATTTGTGTTGAATCAAAACAAACCAAAAAATCATGTCCTACCACACATAGGGAATCAGAATTGCTTGAGTTAATTCACACGGATTTAGGTGATTTAAAAAATACCATGACTAGAGGTGGTAATAAATTTTATGTCACCTTTATTGATGATTTTTCGAGATACACTAAAGTTTATTTGCTTAAAAGTAAAGATGAGGCTTTTGACAAATTTTTAGTGTATAAATCCGAGGTGGAAAATCAATTGAATAAGAAGATTAAGAGAGTGAGATCGGATAGAGGGGGCGAATATATTTTAATAAATGATTTTTGTGAGAGGGAAGGGATTATCCATGAGATAACTCCCCCGTATTCGCCTGAATCCAATGGAATAGCTGAAAGAAAAAATAGGACATTAAAGGAGATGATGAATGCTCTTTTAATTAGTTCTGGTGCGCCTGATAATCTGTGGGGGGAGGCTATTCTTTCTGCTTGTCACTTACAAAACAGAATTCCTTATAAGCATAATAAGAGAACACCCTATGAATTGTGGAAAGGTCATGCGCCTAATTTGAAATATTTGAAAGTGTGGGGGTGTTTGGCTAAAGTCTTATTGCCTGATCCTAAGAAGAGGAAAATTGGTTCTAAGACATCTGATTGCATATTTATTGGTTATGCTGAATGTAGTGCTGCTTATAGATTTCTTGTTTTGAAAAGTGATGTGCTTAATTGGAATACTATTATTGAAACAAAAAATGCTGAATTTTTTGAGCGTGTGTTTCCTTTAAAGCCAGAATACAAGACTGTTGTGCCATATCGTGAAAGTGAGCCATTAAAAGAAAATAATACTTTTAATGATGAACCCTCTAATTTGAGAAGAAGTAAGAGGCCAAGGATAGAAAAATCTTTTGGAAATGATTTTTATACATATCTTGTTAATGATGAACCTTTTACTTATTCACAAGCTATTTCATCAAAAGAGGCTCCTTTTTGGCTTGAGGCAATTCAAAATGAAATTGAATCTATTCAGAAAAATAAAACTTGGATTTTAACTGAATTTCCTAAAGGGTGCAAACCAATCGGATGTAAATGGATTTTTAAAAAGAAATTTAATCCGGATGGTTCAATTGACAAATATAAAGCGAGGCTTGTGGCAAAAGGTTTTTCTCAAAAACAAGATGTTGATTATTTTGATACTTTTGCACCGGTAACGAGAATATCTTCCATTAGAACTTTAATTGCCTTGGCTTCTATTCACAAACTTCTTATCCATCAAATGGATGTTAAAACGGCATTTTTAAATGGTGAATTAGAGGAAGAAATTTATATGGTGCAACCGGAGGGTCATGTAGTTTCTGGACAGGAACACAAAGTGTGTAAGTTGGTCAAATCTTTATATGGTTTGAAACAAGCTCCTAAACAATGGAATGAAAAATTTGATGAAGTATTATTAGCTCATGATTTTACCTCACTTGAAGTAGATAAATGTGTATAGACTAAAATAAAAAATGGTGTGTGCATTATTATTTGCTTGTATGTGGATGACATGCTAATATTTAGCAGCAACATTGAGTTAATAAATGAGACAAAATCATTTCTTGCTTCAAAATTTGATATGAAAGATTTGGGTGAAGCAAAACTGATTTTGGGTATTAAAGTCATAAGGAAGGACGATGGTATTATACTATCTCAAGAGCACTATGCTGAAAAACTTCTAAAGAAGTTTGGACATTTCGATGTCAAACCTGTGGAAATCCCTTATGACTCTAGTACACATTTGAAAAAGCATAGAGGTGATCCTGAGGCTCAATATGAATATGCACAAATAATTGGGAGTTTATTACACTTAATGAACTATACGAGACCCAACATAGCTTATGCTGTCGGAAGATTGAGCCATATACACATAATCCAAATGGGGATCATTGGGCCGCGTTGAGGCGGTTACTGAGATATTTGAGAGGTACCATGAATTATGGTATATTTTATAGAGGTTTACCCGCTGTACTAGAGGGATATAGCGATGCCAACTGGGTCTCTGACTCAGATGAGATTAAATCCAATACTGGATATATATTCACCCTTGGAGGTGGTGCTATTATGTGGAAATCAACTAAACAATCTCTCATTTCTAGATCCACTATGGAGTCCGAGCTTATAGCTTTGGAAGTGACTAGTAGTGAGGCGGAGTGGTTGAAAAATTTCTTAGCAGAAATTCCGGTTGGTACAAAATCAACACCTGCGGTGTCTACTTTGTGATTGCCAAAGTGCAATAAATACTGCTAAGAAAATGTGTTATAATGGGAAGAATAGACACATTCGTTTAAGACATAAAGTCATTAAACGATTATTGAAGAATGGAATTATTTCCATTAATTATGTGAGGTCAGAAGGAAATCTAGCGGATCCATTGACTAAAGCCCTAGGACGAAAAATGATAAGTGAAACCTCGAGGGAAATGGGACTTGTGTCACTTGATTACAAATAGGGATGGTAACCCAACTTGTGTGATTGGAGATCCCATGAAGCAAGTTCATATGGTAATAACAAGTCTTCTATTTATTCTGCTAGCCTTATTACAAGTCTCTTTATATAGTGTGGAAGACTAGACTGCATTCGCTGTGAGGCTGAGCTAAAACTCTTAATGATTTTCATAGCCCTTGCGGGTGGTGTGTTAAGTGCAGAACACACTTGATGAGATCACCTATATGAGTGTGAGGTGGGGCCGCCTCCATGAAGTCTTGACAACGCTTCTAGAGCACTCACGAACACCAGGCACGCGCACGGCCGAAATGCGCACCACGGCGTTAACGCGAGGAAGTGTGCAGAGTGAGACATGGCCATTAAGACCCTGATTTACCATAGTAGCTTCTTGGTTCATAGAAACTATACGTTTCACCAAAAGCTCAGTTTATAAAGACTTAATCGTCTCGGTTTGGTTCATAGTCTACGGACACCAAACTTAAAGTCTCATTCCTTTAATCCAGCAAATTTTGTAAATGGTTTTCACAATTTTTTTATTTGAAATATGTGGGGGATTGTTGGAAATATTTAATATATTTCAAATAAAAACTTTTGTTTTAATTAGTATCTAATAACCGAGCACTTAATTGACTGAGTCGGTTATCTCAATTGTTTTCTAACGTGCATCTTGGTTGAGGGAGTAATACTTGGCTGAGCTTTTTTATCTCCAACTTTTTAGGATCAATAACAATATTATTGTTCCACTTCTTCCTTCCTGTAAGGAATAAATGTAATTAGATTTTGATGATGCTATAGGATTAGAAAGTTAGAGTACCCCCAATTAGACTTTATGTATTAGAATTTTCAATTGTAAGTATTAGTGTAGTCGACGATCAGAGTTGCTCTGCTTTGGATCAGATCAGAAGTGCATCAGAACTGCTCAACCAGACTTGCTCTATGAGAACTGCTCCATCAGAGTTCTCTTACCAGAAGTCCATCAGAGTTGCACCCTGAGAATTGCTGATAAACTTGGACATCTGATAACCGATGAGAGTTACAGATCAGAGGTACTCATCAGCGGACCTATCAGAGTCAGAATTAGAGTTCAGTCAGAGATCAGAAAGCCATCAGAACTCAGAAAGCCATCAGAACTCAGGAAGCCATCAGAATCCAACACATCAGAAGAGCCTGATCAGAGCCCGACTAACACTTAGAAGATTTTAAGCAACATCCAACAGCTATGAATCCAACGGGTAAAATCATCCAACGGCTAGAAGACTGTGCATGAAAGGAAAGCATTTAATGCACATTAAATGAGCCTGATACGCTGAAGGATTGATTGCAAATGATTGACCAAAGAATCCGGGAAGATATATTATAAAAATAGAAACCTTCCAAAAACGGCGGTCAAGTCAACTGTACGCACATTTAATGCAGTTGTCTCCTCCTCCAACGGGCAGACAACCTCAGTATATAAGCTACACACCGAAGAACAGGAAAACAACTTTGCCAAGAACTCTTGATCCATTTCCGAACATACTTCTTGAGATTCAACCTTCATAACACTCTACAAGAAAAGTCCTACGTTGGGAAGATTCAAACTCCAAATCTTTCATCCCCAACAACGAGCAAAGTTCATCCTGTTCTTCAACTCTTCAAGAACTTCATCAAACATCATTTGTAACGAAGCAAGTTGGAGGAAAAACTCTGTTTTTCAAAGGATCTTCTGCAAAGAAGGGCGTCCAAGTAACTGCAGTAGTGAAGTGGTGATACTTCCGGGAAGCTGAGTGAAAGGACCAGCCATCAGGGCGTGGAATTACATCCTGGGTGGCATCTAGACTTGAAGAAGACGAGGAGTGCTTCTTAAGTGCTAGGATTTAGCTTTGTAACCGATCTACTTCAAAGCTAGTGGAACAGTGGACTAGAGGAACGCGTTGTTCCTTGAACCACTATAAAAATATCCGGTGTCATTTACTTTACTGCAATTTATATTTCTGCACTTAGGATATTAACTGGTAACTCTAAGATTTGGAATCTGTGCTCAGCAGATCTTGTTTTCAGAGTTATCAGAAAGGCATTTGCCTTAGTGTTTCTGAGGCTACCCGGACAGATCAGAATCCGCTGCCAAGGCCAGTTCTGTTATCAGAACCAGCCTTTCTCTGTCACCAGAATCAGACATTCTCTGATAAGTCATTTTGGACTTGGAGAAAATTTGAAAAACCAATCAGTCTATTCACCCCCCCCCCCCCCCCCCTCTAGACTGATTACCACATCAATCGGGACCAACAAGTGGTATCAGAGCCTCCTTGTTCTTGTAATCTTTTAGGTTACTCTCTGAACAAAGATCCACTTGTTCTTAGCCTCTATTTATTTGTTATTATGGATAATTCCCTTGCAAAGCATCTAATGTTCACAGATCAGAAATATGATGATTGGAAGATCAGAATGAAGGCACATCTGTGTGCTCTTCATGATGAAATGTGGGAAGTCTTGGAGAATGGACCCTTTATCCAGTTCATGAAGATCAATCCTGCTCACTCCACTGATAACTCTCAGCCCCAGATGATTGAGAAAGCTCGGTCAGAATGGACCAAGGAAGAGAAGAGGCAGTACAATCTAGATAATATAGCCAAGGACATCCTTTACAAGGCTATTGATGAAAGATACTTCAACAGAATCAAGAAGTGCAAAACTGCCAAAGAAATCTGGGACAAGCTAGATGAGATTGGAGCAGGAGATGAGCAAGAAAGAGATAACAAGTTGACCATTGCAATGAAGAAGTTCGATGACTTCAAACTTCTGCCAGAAGAATGCATTGCTAAGATGCATGAGAGATTGCTGATTCTCATCAGTGAAATTTCTGAGCTTGGAAAGGAGCTCACCATCAAAGAGGTCAACATGAAGATCCTCAGGGGACTGCCTTCAGCCTGGAAGATGAAGGTGATTGCAGTCCAGGAAAGCAAGAACATCAAGACCTATGCCACTGAGAAACTCATCTCTGATCTCAAAGCTTATGAGTTTGAGATGCATGAAGAGAAGGAGGAAGTTCCTGATGAAAGGACCACCACTGCTCTCACTGCCAGCACCTCAAAGGTAAGTAACTTTGATCCTTCTACTCTTTTATCTGATGAGTATATGGCTGCTTTTGCCAGGAAATTTAAGAAGTTTATAAAGAAAGATGGAAGGAGTCCATCTTCCATCAGAAGACCACATCAGAAGACTAAACCTTCTGAAAGCAATGGAGAGTACCTCTGCTACAACTGCAGACAGCCTGGTCACTTCAAGGC